GCACGTGTGTACGAGCCGAAGTCGGTAGAATAGTTGCAGGTCAGCGAGTTAGGAACCGTCCGCTGCGAGGATGAGTGAGCCTGAGTCGGCGGGGCCTTGAAGGTTGACGTCAGACACCGTGATGGTGGTTGTTGGCATCAGGTATCGCTGAGGAAGTCTGTGTTAGATGATGGACAGTATCTTCGATTTTGTGATACCACCCTGGCTTCTGAGTTTCCAAACGCAACCGATCCGACCTGTCGGAGCACAGTCGGACAGGGAATTCTCACTGCTGCATGTTCCACGACTACTTGACTGTCACTTCGAGATGTTGTCTATTTTAATGCATCTTTTGCTAAAGATCGTTCCACTCGTGAAGGAGATAGCTGGGACAAGAGCTTTATTCGCTTGACGTTTCGGATTCCTGCTCGAACCCATCATCAGAGACAAAAACAGATGCGGGGGGTTCATGCACAAGGGGCTGCAGTAGTTATAGAATGCAGTCGCCATGCTACCGCATACCTATGAATATTCACGCCCCCCCCCCTTCATCAGGGGTCGTTGCACTTGGTATAATGACTATTTGATGGCCGACATCCGCGTCGTTAATTGTTGCAATCTCATCACGTGTGTTCAATGTTGGTGTGATGATTGCTCGACTAGCTGACACGCTGACCCGGGTGTTGGGAAGAGTGTTCACCAGTGCGCTCCCCGCGTGGCCAATTACTCAGCCCAGACGAAGTCTTAGCACGGAGTATTGAATGAGAAGATCATTGCACTTGTTAATAGACTGGGGGCCAGTAAACCACGACTCAAGCAGCTCCCGGCTCACGCGGTTGTCACCTCTTGCGAGAATTTCAGCCTCGTTAAATTTGAATGTGTGACCGGAACCCGGCGAATGAGCCGCAACTTGAGAGCTAGCGTCATTTCTCCGCACCGCTGCAGCGTGTTCGGCCATTCGCGTTTGGAGTTGTCTTCCCGTTTCTCCGACGTAGTTGCTTTGTCCGCAACTGCACCAGATCCGATAAACGACTTCAGACGTTTCTGCTGTGGCAGTGGGTCTTTCGGTTTCATTAACTGACGCCTGATGGTTGCCTCCGGCCTGTATGCAACTCCAACCCCAGGTGGCGCAAGAAGGCGGCCGACAACTTCAGAGACGCTCTTGACATATGGAAGCGCTCGCCAAAATTTGGGGTTCTTGCGATTTGGTCTTTCGTCCCTTTTGCGTATGCACTGGTTGACGAAGTTGCGCGGGTAGCCATTGGCTTTGAAGACCCGTTAGAGGTATTGTAGCTCGGCGATCTTGTCTTCCGACTCACTGAAGTGCATTTCGACACGCCGCCAGAGCGTCCTTACACAACTGCGTTTGTGGCTGATTGGGTGGTTGCTGCCGAAGTTCAGTACTTGCCTCGTATTTGTCGCTTTCCTGAACACTTTGGTCTTTAGTCCACCACAATCTTTGCAGCATACGAGGAAATCCAGGAAGGCCAGCTGGTTGTTCTCTTCCTCCTTCATCGTAAATTGTATGTCCGGGAAGACAGCGTTGAGACGTTATTTGAATGTCCGCAGCTGATCCCGGTCGATAACGACGAAGGTATCATCCACATACCGGGCCCAGAATTTCGGTCTGTGACGTTGGAAAACCAGCGACTCTAACCGTAACAGGACCGCCTCGACGATGAATGCCGAAATCGGCGAACCCATTGGTGTGCCCTTCACCTGTTCGTAGATTGTCCCGTCGAACGTGAAGTAAGTCCTGAGACAGAGCTTCAGGAGCTGAAGGACTTGGGCGTTTCTGAGACTATTCCCCGTTTCATCGTATTTGCTTTATAGAGACAGCTCGATTTCCTCGATTGCCAGATCCTGGGGAATAGAATTAAAAAGGGACATAACATCAAAAAGATACCATGACCCCATTTTGATGGAGGCTTACCCCTTTGAGTTTCTCCAGGAGTTTTGCTGACGAAGAGACCGTGGTGTCTGACTCAGCGGTCACGACCTTGAGACGCCGGAACAGCCAATTAGCCAGTCCGTACCTTGGAGCACCTTTGAGCTACACGATAGGTCGGGGAGGAGCGCCGTCTTTGTGCACCTTAGGGAGGCCATGGAATCGGGCCAAAGCCGTATCTTGGGGTCTCGCCATGCGTCTGTCGGTCGGTGTTATTGCACCTGAGTTCTCCAAGGCCAACATCGTAGCATTACTGTCGCGTGTCAGCGCTTTCACAGGGTTCGTTGCATATGGGACATAGAACTGTCGGTCCTCCAGTAAACCTTTGGCTTTTCGAAGGTAGTCTGTCCTGTCCAGTAAAACCGTGGAGCGCCCCTTGTCTGCTGACACGATGACCAGGTCCTTGTCGGCCTTGAGTTCTCTAAGCGCATCACGTTCGACCTTGGGCAGCACTTCCCGCGGCCTGTGGGCCATTAGGAGAGACGATACTTGGTGCCGGATGAGGCTCTTAGTCTCCTCCGTTGCCTCCGTCTGATTAAGGATTGATTCCTCTGCTGCGATAATGTTAACAGGTTTGACGTCAGCCGTTCCACCATCCGTCACTCGTGAATGTGCTGGGTAACCCGCAGCCAGTCTACTGAACAGCCCTGTTTTCCCGGAAACGGCGGATGGTTGTGATGAGAAACTTTACAACAGTTTATAAAGAACCACGGGTCGGCCAACAACGACATTTACTTTTCAGGGACAACAGTTGGCCTACCCCGCAAATCGCATATGAGTGAGTAAAGGAGGAAGTTGACCAGTTATTTTGGTAATCGAGTAAAAAAATCGAGCTGACTCATTTATAAGAAGTTCGTCGGCCTCAGTCGAATTAGAAACCACAGGCAGCAAGAACAAGGCTTGAGTACAGCCGAGACTCCAACCACCTAAGCCGTGAGGCCTATATTGATGCCAGAACCTCTTATTCAATAACTGAGCCTACTAGCAATTTGCTATTTTCTCGATTGATTGCTTATAAACTTCTGCTTGGGTAGTCAGCTTACTGTGTCTGGACTGGTGAATTGCATGCGTTGCGGCCATGAAACTGATGGCTATCGGTCGCGATCTCGTAGTCCTGGTGGTTGTAGCAGTGGCTATATTCAAGCCCTGCCTAAGCCATCATGTCTTCGAATCTCATGCAGGCCGCCGAGTTTCTGACAATTAGATCGGCTGTATTATCCAACCTACCAAGAAGATTGGTTGAGAATGGGAGCAAGTGGTGTCTATATATAAACTATCTGCTTTGTCTGTATGTCAGTTGGCTTAAATAACAGACGACTTGCATGCTTCTCCTAATGTCAGTAGACGTCTTTCATCATTATCAGTTGACTAAATTGTTTTTGATCTGGCGACAGCGAAAGAGTTTTCTATACTGTCACAGCTGTCGGAGGGTGTGCACATCGAAAGGGCTCTCACCTCCAAATGATACTCATGGGTATCTGCGTCTGTGGCACGCTTTAGAAGGGGGGTTTATGCCACATAAGTCACTATGCCCAATATCAACATCAACCGAACTACCCTGGTCAGGCCATTGAGATATAGTTGGATAAAGGGAGCGATAGAGGTCAACACAATGCGGATTAGACATCCACTTCCCTCACTTAAACATACCAAAACGCACTCTGAAACTTTAACACTTGCCAGCGATCATTGTCTGGAAGGTCGTCAGCCAACGGGATAACGCGCTCCTCCTTCAGAATGAGGTCAAAACCAAGATGGATCCTTATAAATAGGTCTGCTATAGTAGTACTTGTGTCTGTGCACCCCGAGACCCGTTACTGAAGCCCGCGACATATGGGGTTATGCAGCAGTGACAGTGACTTGCGCGCAATCAAGTTCATAGTGGATGCAGACTTGCACAACATCTACCTCACTCTCTCCTCCTCCCCATCTGGGCCCGATGCCTAGAAACAGTCAATAAGATCAGAGGCGGGGAAGGGTGCTGGTGGATGGCACGGTCGAGCCCGCACCTTGGCGCTTTACTCCGCACCCTCCGATCCACACAACAAATTACCAGGATTTTAATCAACAACATAGGGGACCTGGCGCGACGGAAGCCACACCTAGACGTGCCGTCACACCTCTCTCGGATCCCACGCAGTGGGATTGACATAAAGGCCACATTAAGAAGGAGCCATTGCAACCTGACTCATAGTCCACCACTCAGCCGCTCCACACAAACACACAACACTGGACCATCTGGGAGGTCCAAGTTATCGCCTCAGTTGACGACCTTCCAAGCCACGGCTTCTAGCGCACCGTGATAGCTTCGAGTGCGTCAGATGGTTTATGGTAAATAAAATGCGCTGAGTCGTCGACCTCACTCTCCCTCCTCATTCCCAGGCACCAGTCACTGTCCGAATCGGTCGGTAGACGGGTGCGGGGAATGGGTGCGGTGGCCGACATATCCAGTAACCTTGTCTGTGCCCGCCACATGCACGATCTGGCTGCCTAAGCGCAAGCACTCGGATTTCACACAACGGGGGTTGAACAAAATACATCTCACATGCGTGAGGGTGCCGTAGGCCACTTTGGGAAGGAGTCCTTCCAGCCTGGCTTTCAGCCCACCAACACGCCACTCAAAACGGGCACATAGACAACTGGACAGACTGTGTGGACTGAGTTGGGGCGTCAGTCAACAACCTTCCAAGTCACAGCGCTTGACGCACCGTGATAGTCTCAGACTCGTATCCCACATGCAGCATAGGAGCTGTTTGGAGACGGAACCGAGAAGCACATTTCCTACTTGAGTGGGAGGTGACAATTAGATGTTTGTGTTGGGTGAGGATGCTGCGTGATGTAGGTGGGAGGGGGGGGAGATGTGTTGGCGTGGTGTAGCCGGTGATTGTCTACTGCAGGTTTTCGTGAATGCGCATGCGGCCTGGTATACCCATTCGGTGGGTGAATGTGTGGTGCGGTGAAAGCAATTGAGACGGATGCGTCGAGTGTATGTTGGTGCTCCAGACGCTGGTTCGCCAGTATGTGTGCGATGGATTCGCGAGAAACTGACCAGGCCGATGTGTGAGGTGGCTGTAGGGGAGAGGCAGTGTTAGTAGGAACAGTCGGTAGTGTCAGTGTCGGTTTCGGTGATGGTGGCCGCGGCGGCGGCGGTGTAGCTGCTGGTGGTGGGTGCGGTGGACGGAGGTGTGGGTAGGACTAGGCATGGTGGGTGTGCAGGATGTGCCAGGTGTTTCGAGGCTGCGGTGAATTCCGCCCTCGTGGGCACCTATGTGGCCCAGAAGGCCCATGCGGTGAGCGGATATTCTGAGGCAGTGTGGATAGTGGAGGCGGATGCGGCGAGTGTAAGTGGGTGCTCCAGGCCCTAGTTCACCAGACTCTGTACGATGGATTCGTAGGTGACCGAGCAGGCCGATGTGTGAGGTTAAGGTGAGACCGCAATGAGGACAGATATTGACCGAGTCCACGTTGCTGGAGTCGGCGATGGTGAGGTTGACGTTTGTCGGTGTGTTAGGATTAAGTGCAGTGACGGTGGGTGCAGGAGCCGTCGAAGCAGATGTTGAGGCGATGGAGGAGGATGGCAGTGGGGGTTCGGGAATGCGATCAGTGTTTATTGTCGGCGTGGGGGGGAGGCAGAGGTGGATGGGGGGAGGCATCGGGAGGTGTCGTTCGAGCGTCGCAGTTGGTATGAAGATGTCCAATGAGACGGACTGGTGCCCGGAAGGACAACTGGTATCGTGGGCACGACAGGGGCGTTTGATTATTGGCGTTGCGAGGCGG